TGGGAAATGACACCATGTGCTGGTACCAACATGTAAGGTGAATATGTTGAATATTTTTCGTATTCTTTGTCATTATTGGTTTACTTAACATAGGGTTAGCTAAAGCTAAAGGACTTATGCAATGATTGTCACTAGCAAGAAAATAGACTGGATGGACTTTTGATCACCATTTATTTTGTAATTGTAGAGCATCAGAAAAAAAAGAAAAAAAATGTACACTTAATATTTTTCCTTTAACCCTTTAAAGCCTGATCCAAGAAAAATAGGAAGAATATTGGATTTTTTTAGTCTGAAGTCTTTCTTTGTCCCCTCAACAACATATGAAGAAAAAAAACAGAAATTATTTTGATCAAATTAGCGTGCAATAAGTCAAAAATCTATGTTGGTGTGGTCTTCTACTGGCTGTTATCAGGTATATCTGAATGTGTACAACAGGGGTTTGAGCAAAGCTTTTACCACTGAATGATGCAGAAAGTCTCACATCCAAAAGACTTCAGAAACCGTATTTATCAGATATGACACATTTGGCATTATAGGGTTAAGGATTAGCATCCAAACCCAAAGTAGTACTGAACTGCTAGGACAGTGAAAACCTGGAATGCATTACCTCAGAACTGAAGGGAGAGTCAAACTGGGTCCTTTTTAAACATAAACTTAAAGACTTTTTATTGAGAGGTCAGACATGTGGACATTAATAATCTAACTGACCTGATCTTGTATCTGTGATGTTTTAGTGTGTGATTTGTTCTGTTGTGTACAGTCACTGTGTTTTGTGTAAAAGCCTAACTGGGGACAGGCGATGAGAATTGGCCTTATAGCTAAAATGTTGTAGTGTGTGACATGTTTCATGACACATACTTGTCCCTATCAAACAAACGAATAAATAAATAAATAAATAAATCAACCCAGAGCGTTTTAAATTAGCTGGAACTGCGTGATTTGCTTTCATTTAGGTTGAACTCTACATTACAAAATGGCCGTCACACTCACAGGAAAACTCCTTAAAAGACCAACTGAGAAAACAAGAAGCTTTGGTTTTTAAGTTCAATCCAACACAATCAGAAACAAGTCACAGAGAGAGAAACTCCTATGAGACAGTTCAGATTTAAGGTTTCATCTTGAGGCTTTTTTCTAGGGAGATTATCGCCTTTCCACGAGTGTCTGTGCACATTCTTAAAGATCTTAAATCCTTTAAAATGTAAAACGCAAACAAACTCATAATAACAAATCTGTTTTCTGAGCAAACATGATTTGTTCTGTTGTGTTCAGTCACTGTGTTTTGTGTAAAAGCCTAACTGGGGACAGAATTGAGAATTAGCCTTATAGCTAAAATGTTATAGTGTGTGACATGTTTCATGACACATACTTGTCCCTATCAAACAAACGAATAAATAAATAAATAAATCAACCCAGAGCGTTTTAAATTAGCTGGAACTGCGTGATTTGCTTTCATTTAGGTTAAACTCTACATTACAAAATTGCCGTCACACTCACAGGAAAACTCCTTAAAAGACCAACTGAGAAAACAAGAAGCTTTGGTTTTTAAGTTCAATCCAACACAATCAGAAACAAGTCACAGAGAGAGAAACTCCTCAGAGCTAATTCAGATTTAAGGTTTCATCTTCAGGCTTTTTTCTAGGGAGATTATCGCCTTTCCACGAGTGTCTGTGCACATTCTTAAAGATCTTAAATCCTTTAAAATGTAAAACGCAAACAAACTCAAAATAACAAATCTGTTCTGTGAGCAAACATGATTTGTTCTGTTGTGTACAGTCACTGTGTTTTGTATTAAAGCCGAACTGGGGACAGGCATTGAGAATTAGCCTTTAGCTAAAATGTTGTAGTGTGTGACATGTTTCATGAAACATACTTGTCCCTATCAAATAAACGAATAAATAAAAATAAACTAGTAGTGACTTGTTTAATCTCGTATCTCTAGGCTGTGGTCAGCAGCAGTGTGGAGCCAGGAAACCACATCAATATCCCCTTCAGCGTGATGACCCAGGGAACCGGGGGATTATATTCAATCAACATCAGGAACGACAGAAACTTCCCAATGACCTACCCAACGATGTGAGTAGAAGTTATCATAAGTTATCATAAGTTTTTCCCTTTGTTTCATGTTCAAATACGGGACATTTGGCATATTTAGTCCACTGAAAAAAGATGGCAAACCTTTTTTTTAAATCTCCAGTTGAATGGCAACGCAGAACCTCTGAAATGAGCTGGTCCTGTTGATTTGTAGAGTATAAAGCTTTTACTTTCCTATTCAATTAGGCATCAGGGATTAGTAAATAAAAGATACAGTGGGGGAAATAAGTATTTGAGCCCTTGCTGATTTTGCAGGTTTGCCCACTTACAAAGAATGCTTATTTTTCCTCATCAGATGGTTATCAATTTTTATAATTTCATATGGTGTGATTTTCTGGAATTTTCTTTGGGATTCTGTCTTTCACTGTTAGAATGTACATATGATTAAAGTTATAGATCGTTGCATTCTTTGTAAGTGGGCAAACCTGCAAAATCAGCAAGGGCTCAAATACTTATTTCCCCCACTGTAGATGCTTGTAAAATATCAATTGACCTCTTTACTGTCTTTGAGGTCCTTCCATGTGAACCGTATTATTTCATAAATCAGCTTTAAACTCTAAAGCTACTGTTGGTGGTCCTTTTTTCCCCGACAGGATCACCCTGACAACAGGACAATAGGACAAAGCCTGATTCAAGAAAAATAGGAAGAATATTGGATTTTTTTAGTCTGAAGTCTTTCTTTGGCCCCTCAACAACATATGAAGAAAAAAAAACAGAAATTATTTTGATCAAACTAACGTGCAATAAGTAAAAAATCTATGTTGGTGTAGTCTTCTACTGGCTGTTATCAGGTATATCTGAATGTGTACAACAGGGGTTTGAGCAAAGCTTTTACCACTGAATGATGCAGAAAGTCTCACATCCAAAAGAAACCGGATCAGATATGACACATTTGGCTTTATAGGGTTAAAAAGATGACCAACCTTTTTAATCTCCAGTTGAATGGCAACGCAGAACCTCTGAAATGAGCTGGTCCTGTTGATTTCTAGTATAGAGTATAGTATAGAGTCTAGTAGAGTATAAAGCTTTTACTTTCCTATTCAATTAATCATCAGGGATTAATAAGTTAAAGATAGATGCTTGTAGGATATACAGTTGGGGAAATGAGTATTTGACCCCTTGCTGATTTTGCAGGTTTGTCCACTTACAAAGAATGCAACGATCTATAACTTTAATCATATGTACATTCTAACAGTGAAAGACAGAATCCCAAAGAAAATTCCAGAAAATCACCTCATATGAATTTATAAATATTGATAACCATCTGATGAGGAAAAATAAGCATTCTTTGTAAGTGGGCAAACCTGCAAATA